GATTTTGCAAGACCAACAACTTCTTCATTTCAATACTTGTCAGCAACATAAATGGCAACTATACATGTGGACCTCCCTGAATGAAATACATTAGATTCAAATTGACTACATCGGTGGAAAGAGATGATGGAGATGCTCATTATTTTTAATCAGAACAAGGCCAGTGTATGACTGTGGAATAGACTGTCAATTGCTCCTATATAATTTCAAGTTTAAGATGAAGAAAATTAAAACAAATCATTAAGAGCCAAAGAATAACCTTGAGTATTGTTGTTGTTGAGTGCCTTTGACTTAGTCTCAACTCATAGCAACCCTGTATAGCGGTTCCTGAGGAGTGGCTGGTAGGTTTGAATTGCCAGCTTTACTGTTCAAACTGAACCTGCTATCCAGTGTTTATTGTACAGTAGCACACCAGAACTCCATTCTTGAGTAGATCCCATTTGTATTTAGAAACCATCCCCAAGAATAGATTTGTCACATTGAACACTGATGACCAAAGACATGTGGGATGATATCAAGGACATCATATATGAAAAAATGCAAAAGGTCATTAAAAACCAACAACAACAACAAAAAAGGATGTTGTTGTTGTTAGGTGCCATCGTGTCGGCACTGACTCATAGCGACCCTATGCACAACAGAATGAAACACTGCCTGGTCCTGGGCCAACCTCACAATTGTTACATGCTTGAGCCCATTGATGCTGCCATTTTGGCAATCCCTCTTGCTGGGGGTTTTCCTCTTTTTCTCTGACCCTCTACCTTACCAAATATGATTTCCTTCTCCAGCGACTAGTCCCTGCTGACAATATGTCTGAAGTAGGAGAGATGAAGTTTGGATAGAAAGACCAAAATGAATGCCATAAGAAACTCTGAAACTTGCTCTTAAATATAGAGTAGATAAAGTGAACGGAAGAGGAGCTGAAAGCCAGAGCCCACTGACTGGGGATGGTTTCTTAGTAAGGCTCATACTCCTTGTCCTGAAGATGACAGCCCACAATCTTTACTTATTTTGCCATAGTGGAGTATGTCTGCACTACAGCCTGTATGCTGAGCAAATAATCCGAGAAGCTGGATTATATGAATCAAAATGTGGCATCAGGATAGGAGGAAGATTCATTAACAACCTGTGATATGCAGAATGTATAACCTTGCTTGGTGAAAATGAAGAGGACTTAAAATACTTACTGATGGAGAGAAGGCCAGGCTTGGAGGTGTGAGGTCTCCTATGGAGATACTTCCAGTGGCTGGAAGGGCACCAGAAAGAGCCTTAGGCTGTTGCCCCTGGAGGGTTCTGGGGTGAGAGGACTGGAGGTGGCTTTCAGTGGGACCCTTAGATGGCAGTTTAGTTAAGTTCCCAGACAGATACGGATTCTTCTCAGGGTGAAGGGTTGCCTACATCAGCCAGCCCTGGCAGAAGCAGGACAAAGATTACATGTAGGAGTCCAATTGGGAGCAGAAGGGCTCACATTGAACAGTGGATTCTTTGCCACCAGTTCAACATACAGTAAGTACACTGTAGATGTGGTGCAGTTAAGAAATCAAGTGGTGTATTGCATTGGGCAATTTATTGCAAAATATTTATTTAGAGCGTTGATAAACAAAGATGTCACTTTGACGGCAAAGGTATGTCTGACCTAATCCATGATATTTTCAATCCCATGCATGCAATATGCATGCGATAGCTGGACAATAAAAAAAGACTGAAAAATAATTCATTCATTTGTATTCTGGTGTTGGACAAAAAGATCAAATATGCGATGGACTGTCAGAAGAACAAACCTACCTTGGAAGAAGTACAACCATAATGTTCCTTAGAATTGAGAATGGCGATACTTTGTCTTGTGCCTTTTGGATATGTGGTCAGGAAGGAAAATCCCTGGACAAGTCAAAAAGACGAAGACAAGATGGGCTGACACAGTGGCTCCAACAGTGGGCTCAAATATAGCAATGATTAGAGCATGGTACAGAACTGAAGAGCAAAGATGTCAGCTTCAGGACTAAGGTGCGCCTGACCCAAGCCATGGTATTTTCAATAGCCTCATATGGATGTGAAAGCTGGACAGTGAATAAGGAAGATCGTAGAAGAATTGATGCCTTTGAGTTGTGGTGTTGGAGGAGAATACTGAAAGTGCCATGGACTGCCAAAAGAACCAATAGATCTGTTTTGGAAGAAGTGCAACCAGAGTGCTCCTTGGAGGCCAGGATGGCTAAGCTTCGTCTCTCATACTTGGGACATATTGTCAGGAGGGAACAGTCGCTGGAAAAGGATGTCATGCTGGGTAAGATGGAGGGTCAGAGAAAAAGAGGAAGACCCCCAACGAGATGGATCGGCCAGCTGGCATCATTGATGGCATCGAGTGTGGCAGCGGTAGTGAGGTTGGCCTAGGATCGGACTTTGTTTCGTTCTGCTGTGCATGGGGTCACTATGAGTTGGTTCCGACTCGATGGCAACTGACAACAACAACAACAACAACAGAACTGGGCAGTATTTTGTTCTGTTTTACATAGAGTTGCTATGAACTGGAACCAATTTGATGGTATATAGCAACAACTTGTTTATATATGTATATCATTGTACTCCTATACAACACCCATCACATATTGGAAATATATACTTACCTTTGTACATACTTGGAAATGATTACTGCTGCTGTAGGACTCTATATGTTACAACATTTAATGTAGCCGTATTTTGTTTTTGTGTACCTCTCATATCTTCCTTTGCCTTGGTTGCATTGTACTGACTTTCCATTATTTTGTATTACCTTTCTCTTCACCAGAATTACTCTTATCTATTGGTATGGTGCTTTAGAATAAGCACTGGACTGTTAACTGCAAAGTTGCTCACTCAAACCCACACGGGCCACTCCTTGGAAATCCAATATAGGGACTCTATGAGTTGGTACTTAACAACAGCAACAATAATGATCTAGTTAGTACTTTTCCTTCCTCAGCTTCCTGGTAACCAGCAAAGAATATTTCTGTGTGTGTAAACTGATTATTTACTTCTTATAATAGTGGTCTCATACAATATTTGTCCTTTTGTGTTTGACTTATTTTACTAAGCATAATGTCTTTCAGATTCATCTCTATTGTGAGATGTTTCATGGACTAATCATTATTCTTTGTTGTTGCGTATTATTTTTAAGTGCTGTCGAGTTGGTTCCGATTCATAGGGTTTCCAAGGAGGGCCTGGTGAATTTGAACAACTGACCTTGTGGTTCAGACTGACTTGTGGTCCAGTGCGTTCATTATCCTACAGTGCCACACTAGGGCTCCTATCCCATATATGTATATACCACAGTTTGCTTATCCATTCATCCGTTAGTGGAAATTTGAGTTCTTTTCCTATTTTTTCCTATCCTGAATAATGCTCTGAGCGTGGGTGTGTATATGTCTGTTTGTGTCAATGCTCTTATTGCTCTAGGCTCTATACTTAGGAGTGGGGTTGCGGAATTGTATGGTATTTCTATTTCTAGCTTTTCAGAGAAGTGTTATCCTGTGTTTCATAGTGAGTGTACCCTTCTGCAGTCTCACCAGCAGTGTTTAAGAGTTAACAGTCTTTCTCCATCCCTGCCAGCATTGCCTATTCCCTGTTTTTGTTTAGTTTTTGCATAGTGTCAGAACTGTGGGCAGGTGTGCAGACATGCATTGTCATGTAAGATCACAAGGCTTTTGTATAGCAGTCTTTTGCATTTAATCTGAAGTTTAGGCTTCAGCGCTTCATGAGTATCTCACTTTAATGAGCACTGTTGATTGTTGAAACTTTTTCCTGATTGTTTTTCAGTACTGGCCCTTGAGAATCCCAGAAAACTATAAGCATCAATTTTCCAGCTGATGGATGACTTTTGAACTTTTTCTTGATCGGAGATTGAGAATGTTTTCATTCCATACCCTTGTTATTTACTCTCAGGCTCTTAATAATAAATCCATGTCTTATTACCAGTAACAATTTTTTTTAAAGAAACTTCTACCTTCCTTTGAGTATTGATCCAAATTTTGTGTGCAGATGTCCACGTTGACAACTGCATAGCAGTGACCTTGGATGGAAGGCACTGATAAGACAGTGTAGCCAACAGAAATTTTAATATAACCAGAATGCAGATAATTTTTCACTCATTCTGGTGCTTTGTGGTGTGATTGTGGGCATTTTTTTCTGTTCCAGAGAACTTAAATCTTTTATAAATAGGATCATTATGTTAGTGGTGGTGGTAATGTGCTGTGGAGTCAATCTGTCTCATAGCGACCCTGCATAGGGTTTCAGAGGCTGTAAATCTTTATGGGAACAGAAAGCCTCTGTGGAATGACGGGTAGTTTCAAACTGCTCACCCTGAGGTTAGCAGCCTGACTCGTAACCACTGTGCTACCAGAGCAGAAATTGAAAGTAATTACATTGCTAAGTACTTGATTAAATAACACTTAAATATGTTTATCTTTTAAGCTGAATGGCCTTTATTATTTAATAATAAGTAATGAAAGACTTTTCTAATGAGGTTAGTTTTATTGATAATTCTTTAAGTCTTATAACTGTTTCTAATTGTGAATACTGTTTCTTTGTTGTTAAGTGCTGTCAAGTCAATTCTGATTCATAGTGAACTCATAATTCACTCATAGTGAATTATTTCTGTTTCCTATTCAGGATAACATTCTCTTACTGCATATAAAAGTCTTTTTTAAAAATATTTTATTATGTGTCCTACATCTCTCAACTAGAATTAAGAAGAAATTCAGATAGAAAAGATTATTATGAAACTCAAGGGAACTAATTTTCTTTTATATGAGAGTGTGGCTCTGTGGGTTATTGCGCTAGACTGCAATGTAGGGTTTAAAGGAGTGACTGGTGTGCTTGAATCACCAACCTAGTGGTTGGCATTCTACTGCTTTTCCTACAGTACTACACCAGGACTCCATGTCAGTATTCTAGTTGAAGAAAAATAATCCTGTGAGTTCATGCTTATTTGGTTTCATTAGACTAATATGTATTTTTTAATACTTTAGGTGTGTACATCCCGATTCTGGTTTAATTATCGACATGTTGCAAATACTCTTTCTGTGTATAGAAGTGTCAAGAGACTGGGTATTCCTGACAGGTAAGAAACCGTCATTAAACTTAGTGAAACCACCGACATAATTGTTAGATTGGTGTTTGGTGCTGCTTTTGGAAAAGGTAGAGAAAACTGATTGAAGAGCATACTGCCATGTATAAAGTACAGGTTACTTCTGACTATTAAGACAAATTATATAAAAGAACTGTCAAATATAAAGTAAAAAACATTTCACTGAGTATGACTGTGTAGTGTCATTCATGTAATTTTTTAAAAAACAGTTTTAATTTTAAGCATCGAAAGCAAACCTACTGCCTTCAAGTTAAATCCGACTGTAAGCAACCCAGAAGCAATTTTGACTAATTTAAGCAGAAAAGGAATTTATTGAAAGCATACTATTTAGTTCACCTAATTGCTAGGAAGTTGTTGTTGTTAATTGTCATTGAGTTAATTCTGACTCTTAGCGATCCTGTATAGGATTTCCAAGGAGCAGCTGGTGAGTTTAAATTGCTGGCCTTGTGGTAAAGACTCACCTTGTGGTCCAGTGTTTTATCCCACTGTGCCACACTAGGGAAGTTGGACAGCAAAAAAGACATAACTAAAAATCACGGTGTAAAACCAGTCCAGTGACAATAACGTGGCTGCCATCTGTTAATAATAACTAGATTCAGTCACTACATAGCTTTTTGCCTTTGGAAACAGGGTTGCTACTGCCACCTGCTGCCAAAATCTAACCTTTGCTGTTTCAGCTTTCTAGTGTCTCTAGGTCTTACATCAGAGTCGTTGGTGAAAATGGTGTACTATCAGACTCTAGGACAAACAACCATGTCCATGCTGTTAGGAATGACTAGACAAATGAGCATCGACTTTGTTACCTTCTATATAAGGGGAGAGCTTTGCTTTCTATGAAGATTCATAAAAAGGGAAATTTCATACTTATAGGGAAATAATTTAGGCAATACCCATGCACCTCTGCCCCAGCTATCTAGGATGGATTTACTTTACTGCTTCCAAAACGGTTCTAGCAGGGAGCTGCAGTCAGTTCAGGTCTTTAGATTTGGTTTGTTTACTGCTATATTCTTTTCTGAGACCTGGTGGTACAGTAGGATAAGCATTGGACTGCTAACCGCAAGGTTTGTAGTTCAAACCCACCAGCTGTTCTGAATGAGAACGATGAGGCTATTTGCTCCCATAGACATTTACAGCCTTAGAAACCCTATCTAGGGTCACTGTAAGTTGGAATTAACTCAATGTCAGTGTCTTTTTTTTTTTTTTTTTCCCCCCAAATGTTCTTTTCTCCTGTGAGGCAATATGAAAAGACCTTTGTAGTAAAACAAATCTGAGTTTCAGATCTAGCTTTATTGGTGATTTTGATAAAGTCTTAAACTCAACTAAGACTATTTCCTCATCTGTTACATGGTAAAAATAGTACCTTCTTTGCTGGATTTTAGTAGTTCCTATAAAACCAAAGAGGGATATGTATAAAGTTGTACAGGAGTAGAAAGAAAGCAGTGAATGACTTAGAAAGCAAAGTTGCTTTACATTTTATGTACATAGATACTTTTAGCCTGAGAAGTTGACTGAGCTATAATTGAATTCATGTAATTTCACCTGGAAATTGTGATCATCAGATAATATTGCCATAAAAAAGAATGCTGTTAAATAAAGTCAGAAAGAAAATGATTTGTTCTATCAAGTATATAAATATGATTTTGGAAATTAGCCATTTTTCCTAATTTTTCATTTATTCTTGTCTAGAAGGTCTGCATGTTTACTCCTTTGACTTTCAGCTTTTAACTTCATTTGCTTCTTTTCCCTGTGCACTCCTCTCAGGTGCATGGTTTGGCAATAGTTTTCACTTTGGTACGTGAATCTTTGTTCTTTGAGTCTGTAGGTTACATTGAAACAGTTTAAGATTTGGAGAGACTTTTTAGAAATAGAATATAGCAATAGGATATATTTTATATATTATGCTTTAACAAGTTTATCTGTAGGTTTCTAAAGAATCTTTTTTAAAAAGCTTACTTCTGTTTCAGGTGATTGACTACCTGTTTGCATCTCTGTTTATAAAATGTTTGTTGGCTGGTTAACTGAGGATTTAAGCAATTTATTATTTAACTTGTGCAAATCAATAGAAAAGATCTCTTCGGCTTTTAAAAGTCTTTTGTGGTAAATCTTTCTCTTATTGGTAATATACTATTATATTTCTTTTTGGAATTGAGTATAAAAATACAAATATAGATAAACTTTCAGAAAGTAATAAATCTTTATGAAACAGCAATTTGAAAATTTTAGATCATTAAAAACAGTTTTGTTTTAATGGTTGAATTTAGTTTATGCTTTATGAAAGATTTTCAGATTAAAATAATAGTATCGTTTGTCATAATTCCAGAAATATATTCTGAGAGAAATGATTGGTCACAACATTTAAATGATAGCTAGAGTTCTTATTTCTTTGTATATTTAAAATTTTATTTATTTAAAAAATGTTTACTTTTGTTTTGAAATACAAAGTATTTCCATTTAGTTTTACTGTATGTTTCAATAAGTATTGGACTACTACCCACAAGGGTGGTAGCTTAAACCCACTGTTGTTGTTGCTGTTAGGTGCTATAGCGTTGGTACCGACTCATAGCGACCCTAGGCACAGCAGAACGAAATACTGCCCGATCCTGGACCAAACTCACTACTGTTGCCACACTTGATTCCATCGATGCTGCCACTTGGCCAATCCATTCATTGGGTGTCTTCCTCTTTTTCTCTGACCCTCCACCTTACCAAATATGATATCCTTCTCAGCGACTGATCCCTCTTGACAGTATGTCCAAAGTATGAGAGACGAAGTTTGGCCATCTTGGCCTCCAAGGAGCACTCTGGCTGCACTTCTTCCAAAAGGGATCTGTTAGTTATTTTGGCAGACCATGGCACTTTCAATATTCTCCTCCAACATCATAACTCAAAAGCATCAATTCTTGTACGGTCTTCCTTATTCACTGTCCAGCTTTCACATACATATGACGTTATTGAAAAAATCATGGCTTGGGTCAGGCGCACCTTAGTCCTCAAGCTGACATCTTTGCTCTTCAACACTTTAAAAAGGTCTTGTGCAGCAAATTTGCCTAATGCCATACGTTGTTTGATTTCCTGCTTCTTTCTTAAATGTTGATAGTTGATGCAAGATGAAGTCCTTGACAACTTCAATCTTTTCTCCATTGATAAGAATGTTGTTTATTGGTCCAGTGGTAAGGATTTTTGTTTTTTTAACATTGAGATGTAATCCATACCAAAGGCTGTGCTCTTTGATCTTCATCAATAAATGTTTTAAGTCCTCTTCACTGTCAGCAAGCAAGGTTGTATCATCTGCATATCGCAGGTTCTAAATGAGTCTTCCTCCAAACCTGATGCCACATTTTTCTTCATAGAACCCAGCTTCTCAGATTATTTGCTCAGCATACAGGTTGAATAAGTATGGTGAAAGAATACAACCTTGTCGCACACCTTTTTTAATTTTAAACCACTCAGTGTTCCCATGTTATGTCAGAAGAACTGAAACCAGTAGTCACTCCATAGGAGAAAAATGAGGCTGTCTGCGTCCATAAAGATTTACAATATTGGAATCCCTAAGGAGCACTTATACTTTGTCCTATAGGTTGAGTCAGAAAATGATGGCACTGGGTTATGTATTTCAGTAATAAATTAGTTCATGCTACAATCATTTATTAAAATTAACAACACGGATGATTGCCATTTGTTATGGAAGTCCATAGATCCTGACTGAAATGTCATCGTAACTATGGCACTATAATTGTTCTGGTTTCTCTCTGGTCTTCTGAATGCATTTCACAAACTCGAGAAACACTGAGACAGTCTCTCTGCTGGAATGGCTGTCTGTACTTCTAACTCACTCCCCAAACCTGACTGTGATTCTGAATCATTTGTGGCACATATTGAAAATACAAATTTTACAGCTTCACCCTTAGAGATTATAGTTCATTAAACCAGAAGTAAGGCCAGGAATGTGGTTATAAAGCACAACCAAATATGAGAAGCACAAATTCACTTTACTCAAATACTCCTTCAAAAGAGTATTTCCTGACACCAATAGCATACTGGTGTACCAATGTAGGATAAGCACCGGACTGGTAACTGCAAGGTCAGCAGTTCAAACTCACTAGCCACTATCAGAAACCCTTTACAGAGTCACTGGAAGTTGAAACCTACTCAACAGCACACAACAACAACAACAGTATAGCATTCTGTGTATACTTTTATCATAATACTGCTGTTTTAGGTATAATACATCTTCCCTTATTAGATAGTAAACAAAGGGCTGTGTTTTATTTCAGTTTCCCCAACATTTAATATTTTGCGTGGCACTTAGTAGGTGTTCAGCAGGTGTTGAATAAATAAATAAAAGTATAACTAGAACTAGGAAAGCATGTCTTTCACTTGCTCAAACAAAGCAAACACAAATTTTATGAGTATAGACATATCTTTCCTCTAAGTTGTGTTAGTCTAGTTGTTAGCAAAGGAGTTCTGATGACACAGTGGCTAAATGCTCAGCTGTCAACTGAAAGGTCAGTGTTTCTAACACCACCCCCAGCAGCTCCACAGGAGAAAAGACCTGGCAGTCTACTCTGGTAAAGATTGTTGTGTTTAGGTGCCTTAGTAACCATATGTACAACATAATGAAACAGTGCCTGATCCTGCACCGTCTTCACAATCATTGCTACATTTGAACCCATTGTTATAGCCACCATGTCACCCCATCTCATTGTGGGGCTTCATTTTTGCTGACCCCTTTTTTTACAAAGCATGTTGTCCTTCTCTAGGGACTGGTTCCTCCTGATAAAATGTCCAAAGTACTTGAAACGAAATCTTGCTATCTTAGCTTCCAAAGAACATTCTGGCTGTACTTCTTTCCAACACAGAGTTTTTCACTCTTCTGGCAGTCCATGGTCTATTCAATATTTTTTTTTCCAGCATTCTAATTTAAATGGATCAGTTGTTTGGTCTTCCTTATTCCTGAAAGATTACAGCCTAGG